TTATTTTAAATTAATTATACAATTATTAAATTTCAATTCAATTATACTTTAATGATATCTACAATAAGTTTATATTTTTAAAAAGTTTTATAACTATTGAGAACTCGACATTAGCCCTAATTATATATATTTTTATACAATAAAGCTATTCATCAAAGTATTTCCGGTCCTCCTCTCTATCCAAACAAAACAATTATTCATTAAAACTTATATTTGTTATCAATATTCAAACCATTAATACTTCAATTATCTCCATCTCAAGAGGTGTTATTGGTTTGCGTTCATATCGTTTAGGCATCAGTTCCTCTTCAATACCACTTCCGCGTGGAGTCAAACCAATCGGTGGACCAGAAGTGCGAGAAGACACCACACTCTCTACAGTATCATAACATCCATAACACCACTCATTAATTATTCAAATTATGGTTATTATTATGATTATGATTGCAAACAACAAACCATTCACTTGAGCACCGGTTGTCCTCACATTCCCTCCCTTTTTGAATCTAATGAGTGGTAAATGAGGTTTAATTACCTGTTGTTTGACACGAAACACAATTAACATATCATACGGTATATTACATAGACATTCATAAATAGATGATCTAGTTTATAATTCAATTACAATCAATACTTACTGTCCAAACCCTTTGTGTGTTTGAAGTCATTAGCAATGATTTACTAAATTGACAGCAAATTCAAGTTATTTCCCAAAAATAGATTTGTGCCCTAATTTAGCCCCAATTTGGACATTCACTCACAAAATACTGTTTGTTTTGATTGAACACTAAATACTCAAATTGGATGTTTGCCTCAACTGTTATAATACAATGAATATGTTTAAAGGGCTATAACTATGATCTCAGTGTAAATTGATTCAATGCATTCAATTGTGTCAACTGTTAAGCACTGATTCAATGAGATCTCAATTGATTGCCAAATAAGTTGTGATGTTTACACATTGACAACACATTCACTTTTGTGCCCTTTATATAACATTAGATCTGTATCTCCTTTATGTGAATGTTATGTAAAAA